AAAACTGCTCGTCTGTTTGTAAAGAACAATTTGTTGAGATGAAGCTCACAGAATACACTTGAAAGTGTACACTTTGGTTGCATTTGAATGCATTTGCAGTGTTATGCTACCTCCAGCCCTTCTCTCGGGGCCCGTAAGTATTCCTGTCATGTCCACGAGGAAACACCTTGCCCAGGAAGCATAAAACTGCTGATTTTGAAGTGTAATAAAATGTTAGGCTGCCCTTTTCCTTTGCTCCTCCTTTCCGAAGTGTACCATCTATACTGGCTTTAGAATGTCTCCACGAAGCATTCTTCATGCGTCCAGAGACCTTCAGTTAAATGAACCAATGTGTTAGGGGAGTGTTGGTGGCCTAGTGGCAAGGAGCTGCAACTACAATTCCAGAGGCGCACGGTTCAAATCCACCAGATGCTCTGCCGGGGAAGGAGGGACAATCTCCTCCTGTACCAGTCAGATCTGATTTGACGGTACACTCACACAAAAATAATAAAATAAAGTTTAAAAAAAAATGAACCAATGTGGAGATTAAGAGTGACTATTCAAAAAGGTGGGTGGACTGTACAGTTATTTTAAAACAAACTAAACCCATGTGTATCAGGTCAGTTCCAGCTCACAATGACTTCCAGCAGGTTTCTGAGGTTGCAAATCTTTAAAGAACAAGACTGCCCGTCTTTCCCCCAAGGAACAGCTGTTAGGTTTGAACTGCTGACCTTTTCACGAGCATCTGAGATGGTATGAACCACACCACCAGGGATCCTTTGATAAGAAGTGTGCTGGTTTGAAAAGTCAGCTCTTTGAAAGATCGAGCACAGCCTGGAGAGAAATGGAGATGGCTGTCCCCAGAAGGCATAAAAATGGTGCATTTTGAACAATAAGACTAACGTGTTGTTATGTACCATCGAGTCCAAACCGACTCATAGCTCACCCTCCAGTGGGTTTTGAGAGGCAGAAAATCAGGTGGGAGGAGATTTGGCATCTTTTTCCCACAGAGCACCTGGTGGTTTTGAATGAAGTGCCTTTGTGTTGGCAGCACAACTCCTTACTACTAAGCCACCAGAACGCCTAGAAGACTAAGTTAGGGGTGTGATTCTTGTTAGCAAGACGTGATTATCAAGAATCTAGATGTACGCCTGTTCCCCGAGATGCCACTGGCCATCATCAGAACTCATTTTTATACTGTCCTAGAATATTTTCCTTTGACTTATTAAATTTGCACCTGCCTTGAGTGTGGGCCCTGGGGGCTCACACTGGTGCTGCCATGGTCAGTGGGAGCCCCACCTGCCCAGACCCTCTAGTTCCCCTTTTGGGGCATCTGCACTGACCATTTCCTGTTCCATTGTCCTCTGTCTCCTCTAGGGGCTGCAAGAAGAGAGCCTGGACTTGGGGGTGCAGATGGAGGCAGTGAGGCCTCTCATTCAAGGGAACCCCAACCACCAGCACAAAATGGACCAGCTCGGCTCTGACTTCCAGACACTGCAGCGGTCCCTGGAGGTAAGGGCTCAGTGGGAGGGCCAGGACAGCACCCGCTGTGGGGGACCAGGCTCCTGGGTCAGGTCTCCCCCATTTCTTCATTCCTTCCACCTCTGTTTTTCATCCCGCCTGTCGTGTCCTCATTCATTTGTTACACACTCACTGAGCACACTCACTGACACACATGCTGCAGGTCCTAGAGTTGAGGTTGTGCCAGAAGGTCCCCAGGTAATAGTGACCGAGAGGTAGTGACCAGATGGCATGTGCAATGCCGTGTTGTGACAACGCCAAGAGGCAAGAGAACAGGTCATGATTCCTAGCAGTGACTTGGAACACAATGGGTCCTGGGAAGGTTGCCGGTGTGGCATTAAATCCAGGCTGGAGGGTCCCCTGGTAGGGAGGAAGAGGGCCTCGTGGTACCTGCTGGCCACAGCGCCTTGCCAATGGCACCCTCCAGTGGCCACTAAAGGATTCTCACTGGTTCCTTTCTGGATGGATGCCCCTTTGAGTGTGGAAATTTAAACTGGAGCCCACTTCTTAATTCACATTGAAAGGAGGACGTTGGCCCGACCCAGACTGACGCAGATGGGAGGCTGCGTTTGTAACAAGCAGCCCTGAGGAGTTCTGAGCCATCTCAGGTGGGCGTGCTGCAGGAGAGCTCACACGTAGATGACGAGACCCTTAGCTGCCTGCCCCACTGCTCCTCTGTCAGTTTGCTGTCCTGCGCTGACTTGGGTGTTGCTGGGATGCTGGAGACGATGCCACCGAGTGTCAAACCATGGCAGTGTCAGCCATGGTGCACAGATCTCAATGGAGCTTCCAGGTTAGGACTGGCCATCCGCTGCTGGGATTAACGTGCCCTCAGAAATGCTGTGTAAAGCGGGAGAATAATGTCAGATACAGATCTGGAAGATGAGCCCCTCAGGGTGGAAGGTGTGAAAGTCTGACATCATGCTCGGAAAAATAGACCATCAGTGAAGGAGAGGGGCCCTCCAGACAGACTAACATGATGACCACAACAGTGGGTTAAACACACGTCAGGAGGCTCAGGACTGGGCGAGGGGTCCGTGTGTTGTGCACTGGGTCACTGAGTCAGAATCAATTCGAACCATCTGACAGCAGCTCCCCACCTAACCACTCTGACACGTTTTAATCACAGGTATCGCTCACACTCTCTGTACCCAAGGCCACCAACTGACCCACCTCGCAGTGGCTCTGCAGGACACAGTGAGCTGCCCCATGGAATTTTCCAGGGCTGCCATCTTTACCGGAGCAGAGTGCCTCCTGTGTCCCCTGCAGAGTGTTGGTGAGGTCAAACCACCAGCTGTTTGGTTCACTGCCCAGTATTTAACCCACTGCACCACCAGAGTTCCTCTCATACCCTTATAATCCCAAACATCATAGATAACATGCTACCTCCTCAAATGATTTAAAAATTTATACAAGGTCCTTTCTACGGACCCTCAACAAGATGTCGTGGCCCAGTGGACCGAGTATGATCGAGGCTGTGAGGATGGGCAGGACCGGACAAGGTTCAGATGTGCTGGTCACTCGGGGTCGTAGTGGACTCAACGGCATCTGACAACAGTTGAGTCCTTAATCATTTGCAACCTGGAGGAAAACAAACAGGTCTGTCTTGGAGAGGATGAAACCAAGTTTCTCCTTAGAGGCTAGGATTTTGAAGCTCCATCTCACATCCTTTGGGAATGTGGCCAGGAGAGATTGGTCCTTGGAGAAGGACATCATGCTTGGAAGGGTAGACGGACAGCACAGGAGAGGAAGACCCCAGAGAGATGGATTGATACAGTGACTAGGACTATGGGGTTTGGTGTGTCAAAGTCAGTGAGATTGGCTCAGGACAGAGCAGAGTTTAGGGATGTTGTACATAGGGTCGTTACGTGTTGCAAGCGACTCAACAGCACATAACAACAATAACAACAGGGTTGCTATGAGTCACAGGTGACTCAACAGCACATAACAACAACAACAACAAGGGACATTTACTATCCTTGCTTCACCTGTTGTCATGGTGTAAATTCCAACTCATTGTGACCCTGAAGGCACCTAACAACAGCAAGCACCTCCTTTGTGTAACAGAGAAAAAACCTTCAAATTCATTGCTGTTGAGTTGGAACCCACTTGGAGCTGACCCTTCAACGAGTTTTCTGAGGCTGTAAATCACACAGGAGGAGGTTGCCTGATTTCTACTATGAAGCCCCTTGTGGATTAGAACTACCAGAGAGGAGGGGAGCTGTGGCCACTTCATACAAGCTATGGCATCAGGCCCCCCTAGCTCTTTAATACAAGGGGAACTGAAAGACAAAGTCATTTCTCCTGAGACACTGTTGTTCAGTAAGCAAGTGTCCAAGGGGAAGATGGCCCCACAGAGATATGAGGAGGTCCGGGCCTCCTTTCCTGTGACGGCCATAAATGCCAAGGCTGGTCCCACTGCGGGTGCTGCCTCCATGGTGGTTGGATGCTGTGGGGTCAGGTCCGACTCATGCTGTCCATGTGAACACAGAACGAGCCCTGCCCAGCCCTGTGCCGTCCTTGACACTTCTGTGTGTGTGAGCCCATGGTGACGGTCCCTGTGCTCGTGTCTATCCTCGAGGGTCTTCATCTTTTTCACTGACCTATTTTTCTAAGCATTTGATTCTTCTCCAGACACTGGCCCTTCCTGATAGTGTGTACAAAGTCTCACCTTCCTGGCACCTAAGGAGCACTCCGGGACGTGTTTGTTCAGTCTTTTGATAATCTATGGCATAGAGCAGAGCAGCTAACACTGCATGGTTCCAAATTGGGAAGGGTGTATACCAGGGATGTGTCCTATCTCCATACCTTTTCAACCTGTATGCAGAGCAGATTCTCCGAGAGGCTGGGCTCTATGAGGAGAAGTGTGGCATCAGGATTGGTGGAAGATCTATTAACAATCTGCGTTATGCAGATGACACAACCCTGCTTGCGGAAACTGAGGAGGACCTGAAGCTCTTGCTCAAAGGGTCAGGGACTGCAGCCTTCAGTATGGACTGAGGCTCAATGTCAAGAAGACAAAGATTCTCACCACTGGACCAATTGGCAGCATCAGGATGGATGGTGAAGAGATTAAGATTGTTCACAGCTTCAGTTTGCTTGGCTCCACGGTCAACACTCTTGGCACCAACAGCCAAGAAATAAAAAAACATATTGCGATGGGAAAGTCTGCTGTTAGGGACCTCTCCAGAGTACTGAAGAGCAATGGTGTCACTCTGGAGACTAAGATGAGTCTGATACAGGCCATGGTCTTTGCAATCACTTGTTATGCATCAGAGAGTTGGACAATGACTAGGGAGGACAGATGGAGAACTGATGCCTTTGAGCTGTGATGCTGGAGAAGAGTATTAAATGTACCCTGGACTACCAGGAAAACAAACAGATTCATCCTGGAGAGGGTTAAACCAGGCTACTCCTTGGAGGCAAGGGTTCTGGGGCTTCGTCTGACATATTTTGGACATATTGCAAGGAGGTACAGGTCCTTGGAGAGGGACATCATACTTGGTAGGGTGGAGGGACAGTGCAGGAGGGGAAGACCCTCTATGAGGTGGATTGATTCAGTGACTGGGGTAATCAGAATGGGTGTGTCAGAGGCAGTGCGATTGACACAGGATAGAGCAGGGTTTAGGGCTGTTGTACATAGGGTCGCTATGAGTCGCAAATGACTCGACAACACACAACAACAACATGGCATAGTCAGTACTCTTCCCCCACACCAATATATAAAGGCATAAAAATGAAAAGGAATCCAGCTTTTCTGGGTTTTTATTAATATTTTTGTCGTTCACACACATTGTGTTTCATGCATGTACAGTAGGTTGCAGACAGTCTTGCCTTTACCTTACATTTCATTCCTTTATATTGTGTTTTGTTTGCAATGCAGTTTTGACAGCTTCTAATGTTCTTAGTTCATACATTTCATGCTGTAGTTTTAAATGAATACTCGCAGCTGTTTCTCCTCACTTTGAGCAGTGCGGCATCAGCAGTGAAGTTTCTTCACTGGCTGTCAGCTTAAGGAGACAGCGCTCCCCCGGTCCTGTCTGAGGGCCTTCCCATCTCCAACACGACATCACAGAGCATGCACCTCACACTCAGAGCAGTTTTGAGGGACCAGTGTTTTGAATCAATTCTGGTGGTCTGCTGGTGAGGAGCTGGGCTGCCAACTGGTAGGCACAAGGTTCGAATCCACCAGCTGCTCTGTGAGAGAAGGATGGGAAGTCTCCTCCTGTGTGATTTACCACCTCTGAAAACCCACTGGTGGGCCAGCTATGGGTCAGTTCCAACTCTCCGGTACATAACAACACTATTACTTCAGCAGTAGATGCCAGCCTGTCTTCTGAGTCTCTGACTTGTCTGAAAGCTCCACTGACACCCGCCCACTGTGGAAGATCCTGCTGGTATTGGAAGTCCCAGCACCTTAGCTTCTAGCCTCACAATGGCGCCCAAGCCGTCGCAGTGCAGCAAACTGTGAGTCAGTCCTGACTAGGCTCGTTCGTCCCATTTCATATTGTAGCCACTGCTGGAACGAATTTCACAGAAGAGAGAAATGGGAAACCTGGTCTCTAGTCCTCAGAGACTTCCAGAAGCAACATAAGTCTGCTCTTTGTTAAAAAAGGAATTAATTTGTAGTATTATTTTAAAACTTGTGATTTAAATGAAAACAAAGAAAGTTAGTTTCCATTCCTTATTCCCACACATTTGTTTTAGGCATTAATCCCAATACCCACAGTGGTACTGCACTCTCCCCACTTCCTCCCTGTGATTCTCCTTTTCATTCATCCTTTTTGACCTCTTCCTGCCCTCTGAGTTCTGACCCTGGACAGATGCTGCCTTTTTGCTCTCCTATGGTTGCTTGTTCTGAGGATTGCACTTCTCCCTGATGTTTTTTTAAATCATCTTATCGTCCTGTCTATTGTTTGACTGAAGATTGACCCACAGGGTGAATTTTGTTCTAGGATTGAAAGGCGACTCCACATTACCATCAGTCTCTATGGGCCCAGTTAGACTGGCCATTTGCCCACCTCCCACTGATGTGCTGAGTTAGTCACTTTAATGAAAGGAGAGTTCAGGCGAGGCCCACATGTGCAGAGCCATGTGCATTCACTAGCTCATTTATTTCCACCCCACAGTTCACACCACCCCCAGGACGCGGGGACATGGTGCAGGTGTTTTGTGTCCTCTAGTCAGTTCCAGCTCTTAGTCACACCACAAAGCAGAGCAGAACTGCCCATGGGGTTTCTGAGGCTGAATAATCTGTAAGAAAAATACCTTCTATACAAGATAGCTTCTGCCCCACAGTCACTGATGGGTTCAAACCACTAAGCTTTCTTTCCCTTGGCAACTGAATGCTGGACTATCATACACCGGGGCTCTTCCCACCAACCAGGGCTCCTCCCACCAACCAGGGCTCCTCCCACCAACCAGGGCGCCTCCCACCACCCCGGGCTCTTCCCACCAGCCCAGGCTCCTCCCACTCACAAGTGCCCCTCCCACCCACAGGGATTCCTCCCGCCAGCCAGGACCCCACCCACCAGCCAGGGCCCCACCCACCAGCCAGGCCCCGCCCACCCACAAGGGCCCCGCCCACCCAAACCCACTGCCATGGAACTGGTTCTGACTTGTAGTGACCCTAAAGGACAGAGTAGAACTGCCCCGTGGGTTTTTCCAGGACTAGAATCTTTACAGAAGCGGACTGCGTCATCTTTCTGCAGAGGAAGAGTTGATAGGCTTGAACGGCTGACCTTTTGCTTACCAAGCAAGTGCTTTAACCACATAGCCACCAAAGCTCCTGCAGGCCTCCTGAGGGACAGGTTTTAAGGTGTTGGATCCACCGTTGATCTTTCTGGAGTGAATGCTTTACGGGGTGCAGAATGGAGGACAAGCCTGAGTTCCTATGGGGTGGGGAGCCCTGGGGGGCCCTGGTGGGCTGGGGACCCGTGGGTCTGTGGTGTCCAGGGTCTCTGCCTCAGTCGGTGCCCCACACCTTCCCGTATGGCAGAACCTCATGGAGTGGAGCCGGCAGGCTGTGCGGGAACACTCGGCCTTTAGTCTCAAGGTGCTGGAACTGTGCCAGGGGGTGTCCGAACTCACCCAGAAACTGGAAGCTCAGCGGGGCGACGCGGGCCCTTGTAGCCTGGAGGCCCGAGAGGCTGAGATCGAGGTAAGCCGGCCTCCACTGGGAAGAGGCTGGTTCTCCCGCCTGCACCCCAAGAAGCAGCCTGGATGCTGTGTGCGATGTGTGTGTAAGTGCACTTGTGTGTGTCCTGCAGAGGCTGCTGGCCGAGCTCCCTGAGAAGGAGGCCCAGCTGTCTCTGACAGAGGCCCGCGGTCGCCTGGTCATGGAGGGATCTTCCCCGGAAGGGGCAGTGGTGGTCCGGGAGCAGCTGGAGGAGCTGGCTGCAGCGTGGCGGGCCCTGCGGCTGCAGGAGGAGCGACTGCTGGGGTGAGTGAACCTCGTCTCAGGCCATCTGGGTACCTCCTCCCCACGGGCCATGCACCTCCCAGGACTGAGGTCAGCCATAAGCTCCCTGCAACTCCAGGTGCCTGCACCTCCCCTCCTCTGGCTAGATCAGTGTCCTAGCAGAGACGGTGGGAGCTGAGATGTGTCCGGGGCCAGAACGCTCACCCTTAACACTCGTTGACTGGAGCCCTGTCTCCTCACCTGCGTCAGTGGGCAGGGGCAAGTGCATGGACGCAGGGTCCTAGGTCAGATGCTTGGCATGAGTGAGCTGGGAAGGGTGTCTGGAGACCTCAAATGCTAGCCCGGTGCTGCCCCATCTATCACTCCATGCTAATAGGGTGGAGTTTCCCCCACAGCCTCCTCAGGGACCAGAAGGTGCAGGGGACACAGGTGGATGCCGGAAAGAGAGCCGTGTTCACCAACAACATCCCCAAGTCGGGCTTTCTCATCAACCCTCTGCATCCCGTTCTCAGGCATCGACGCCAGGTGAGTGTCAGGGGAGGGACACAGTTCCACATCCAGTGATGGGACAGTCTCCAGCCAAGCCCCATATGCTCAGCTCTCAGGGGGGCCTGATATTTCATGACATTGGTTGCTGTGAGCTCATCATTAACAGAAATCCCCCCATTTCCTGGGTTCCCCAGTTTCGTTTGCCCATCCTGGCCCCTTCCTGCCTTCTATGTGGTGTTTGTGGGAAAATCCGGCCCTCCTGGTCACATGTGGTTGGCCCTTCTAGGGAGCACACGTCTCCTGGTGTTACTGGTTGCCTTACAGGCCTGGCTGTGGTTTTGCTAAAAGTTGATGCCTGGTGGGGGGTGGGGATGGGGGTGGGGTTGAGGTCCAGCTCCAGGCCGGAAGTTTGTGTAAAGGCTGCAGTCCTGGCTTGGACTTGTATTTTGGGAAGCTCCTCCTGGCCACACAAGCTTGGAGGGGATGAGAGTGGACCAGCATGACCACTGAGACAGCCTCACTGTCCTCCCGGCTGAGGAAGGCAGGTGACGTCCACAGGGGACCAGGGAGTCAGAGTGAGGAAGACCTCAGGCCTGTGCTGTAGATTCTCTGTCCTCACCCCATGGCCTCTCCCACCCCTTCTTGGACATCCTGTAGCCATCTGGTACCACGGTTTCTGTGGGTCCCCAGCACATGTGATCAAGACACTTTCCACATTCCTGTAGGGAAATCCACTCCAGGAAGACAACAACCCGGAAGACTTCTCCCAGCTCCTGCAGGGCTTCGAGCGCTGGCTGCAGGAGGAGAACTCTAAGCTGGTTAGAATCATCTCTCTGAGAGCTGCCAAGGCCAAGGACCTGAGGGCCCAGCACATGAAGCTGCAGGTTTGTCCCCAAAGAAAGGTCTCTTGTCTATTAGCCACCAAGGACTTAGTTACATTCACAGCTTGAGAGCCATTCTCCCATGTGCAGAAATAAAGATTTTAAACCTTGAGGGTTCAAATCTTTAAGAGCTCTTTTCATTTCCCCCACTTGTCCCATTTGGACGCCGTCATCATCAGTCACTTCACCCGATCAGTAAGCTGACACACCAGCCGCCCTGACATTGGGTGGCTTGAAACAACCACCACAAATCAAACCATGATCCTGAAGGTTGGCGATGTAGATGGAACTCGGCTGGGCAGGGCTTCGTGCCCCCCTGTGTGTTTGTTGTCCCCCGGCCATCAGCTGGTGGCTCTGTTTTGGGGGACTGGCTGGCTGCTGGTGGTGACAATGACTGGACAGCTGTCCTCCAGCAGGCCAGCTCAGGAGTGTCCGCCTAGCGCTCACACACACACACACAGGGTCCGAGAGAGCAAAGGACTCGCATGTCAGCTCTTAGAGGATTGAACTAAAATGTCAGATTGGAGGTGATCATGGAAGTCAGCAGCCCCAGAGTCCCTTCTGTGCAGGGGTGCACCCTGTAACACTCCTGCGAGGAGGCACCCACCTGCCTTAGCTTGAGTGGATGAGATTCTCATGGTGCGGGCTCTGCCTGCTCTTCCCAGCATCCCTCTCTCAGGTGAAGTCTGATTGGTCCTTATTAATCAGGTGTATCATGATGCTGCCCTTCTTTCAGGAGCTGGAGGCTCGGGTACCAGAAGGACAGCATCTCTTTGAGAACCTCATTCGTCACGGACCAGCACGGGGGACCTCAGATGAGCTGGAGGACCTGCGCTACCGCTGGATGCTCTACAAGTCTAAACTCAAAGACTCCAGCCACCTGCTGGTGGGTCCTCAGGGCCAGCTCCCGCTGTCTGGGGGAGCTCGTGGGTGGGAGACAGCCTTGCCCACGACCCATGCTCCCTGTGTCCAAGTCACACTCATGGGTCCATGCCCTTGCCATGTCTTTAGCCATTGTAGCCTTGGGTCTCTTGGTCATACAAATGGATTGCACTTGATGACTAGCCTGAAGGTTGGCAGTTCAAACCTTCCCAGAGGCACTTTAGAAGAAAAGCTTGGTGATCTGCCTCCATCAATGTGATAGTCAAGAAACCTTCTAGGAAGTTCTGTTACCCACAGGTCACCGAGGCAGCTCTTTCTGTAACTCATGGGTTAGGGAACCAGCTCTGTCCATAACCCACGGATCACTGAGGCAACTCTGTGTATAACCCATGGGTCACCGAGAAGGCGCTGTCCATAAACCACGGGTCACTGATGTGGCTCTGTAACCCATGAGTCACCACAAGTTATGATTGATTAGAGCGTAGTGGGCCTGGGTTTGGATACCCTGTGAAGTTGGAGCCCCGGTAGTGACAACAGTAACCATCATGATGAGTGTTGAGGGCCTTGTGCCTGCCAGGCTGAGCCCCTGATGGCCACCATCCTAGCTGGGTCCCCACAGCGTCTCTGCTGGAGTATTCTTGGTCCCCCAGGCCACACAGTACGTGGCACAGCCAGCATGCAGGTACCACACTCGGATGTAGGAGGGACTTGCTGACACTGCGGGTAAAGTGCCAGAGGTCAGCATTTCAAATCCACTGGCTGCTCTGTGACAGGCATGGCATCCTGCCTCTGAAAAGATTGCGTCTGAGAAGTCCTGGGGGCAGTTCCACACTGTTCTCTGGGGCTGAGTGGATATCGACTCGATGGCAGTAAGTTTTGTTTCGGGGTGTTATGGGTGAGATGTTGGGGTTCCACACTGTTCTCTGGGGCTGTGAGTGGATATCGACTCGATAGCAGTAAGTTTGTTTTGGGGTGTTA